AAAAAAAAAAAAAAAAAAAAAAAAATTAGCAGGGCATGGTAGGGCATGTCTGTAGTTCTGGTTACTTGGAATGCTGAGGTGGAAGGATCACTGGAGCCCAGCAGGTTGACACTGGGTGGCTGTGAGTGTGCTAATGCACTCCAGCCTGGGTAACAGAGTGAGACTCCAACTCAAAAAAAAAAGAAAGAAAGAAATAGACACCTAAAATTCTACATATCATTTCTGATATCCCTGAGCCCAAGCTATTAACTGTTGTATATTTGGGGAAAATTTTTTTAAATGTAGTTAATTTATTCACTTTAATTGTTTAAATTACAAACCAATTATTTAGCACAATTTTAATGAAATACCCGTCTGTTTTACTTTTCTCTTGTTGGCTAATTGCCAAACAGAGTGATAGAAATTGCCAGACTTAAATAATTGCCTTACTTAGAAACCATCAATATTCTCTGTTGTTGACCAAATAAAGCTCACATTTTTTTTGTCTTGAATTCAAGATATTCAGTGGTTGGTTCCAAACTACTTTATGAAAGTTATATTTTGTTATTTTAAACACACAATTCACACATCAAGTGGATCATCTTGTGGTTTTACACACTTACTGCACATTTACACATCTGTACCTCTGCTTTTATTTCTCACCTCCATTTTTGAAACCTCTTCAAAACTTATTCAAATACAAACTTCTGAAATTTGAAGTAAGAAACCTGTTCTTATCTACTGTCCTGCAGTCTCTTAACTGTGTCGCTCCTGCCATTATTTATCAGCCTAGCTGGAAGACAATGTAGTTTAGAGGCTGAGAGCATAAATTGGGGGTAGGCTGCCTGGATTCTAAGCCCAGTCCCATCCTTAACTAACTTTCCCTCCCTTTCATCATTTTTAAAGTAAGGGATTGATCAAACAACCTCATAAGGTAGTCTTGAGGCTTAGATGAGTTACTACATCTAAACTACTTAGGACAATGCCTGGTACCATATATCTTTATTATAGTTTTCTGTGTAACCGTATTTCACTTCAAATAACTTTTCAGATTTTGGGTGCTACAATTGTTTAACTTATCTATAGGCCAATAGTACTATCACAATATCCTCAAAAGAGTATGAAGCCAATATTTATTAACCAGAAGGCCAAACAAACCATGGAGTTCAGCAGGATGCATTTTCAAGGAGAAAATGAGACAAACAACTTCACTGCAATTGCATTCCAGTGAGAGCTAAAGCCATTCCCCAAATTGTTCTCTTGCTAAAAAGCAGAGTTCCCTCTTCAAGTTGAATAAGAAAAGTGCTGCACATGTGGAAGTTTCCATATGTGTTGGAATTTAAAAAAAAATATCAGAAGAGTATTGACATAGTACAAATGTCAAAACACCTGGGGATTCTGTTCTTTGTTATCGGAGCAGAAAATTTCATAATGCTAACAATGCCACTCTCTAGTCTAAGTTGATGAACTAGGTGTCTATATTCAAATTCTTTTTGTGGCAAAATAATATCAGTTAAGAAGAAAACCTATTCTTGTTATTTTGGTCATGTCTGCTAAAATTAAAAATCGGAGCTAATTATTTAACTTATCCTGTTACTAATGAGCAGCAAGCACCATTTTCACTGAAAGTTATATTCACATTATTTCAGGAAGTGACAATTAAAAATAGTTGAGAAGCCTATACCATTCATTCACTTTTTTAATTCTACATTTGCCGAATGCTCATTATATTTCACACATTCTATGAAGTGCTGAAGAAGCAGTAAAACTGAATTAGGACATGGCCTAATTTATCTTCTGAATTTAGATGTGAAAGGAATGCTATATCAATACAGAAAAGACAGCTAAAGTCTGAATAAGAGAAGACTGGAGAATTAGGTAAGAACTGAGAATTAACTTGAACTGTGTCCACCTCAGAACACAGCAATGGCCGGGCTCAGTGGCTTAGCCTGTAATCCCAGCACTTTGGGAAGCCAAGGCGAGTGGATTGCCTAAGCCTGCGGTATCAAGACTAGCCCAGGCAATTTGGCAAGCCCTCATCTCTACAATAATAATAATAATAAATTAGCTGGGTATGGTAGTGCACACCTGTAGTTCTGGCTACTTGGAAGGCTAAGGTAGAAGGATTGCCAGTACCCAGCAGGTTGACAGTTCCCTCATCTGGGCCTCCCAAAGTGCTGGGGTGGTCGTGAGTGTGCCACTGCACTCCAGCCTGGGCAACAGAGTAAATTCCAACTCAAAAAAAAAAAAAAAAGGACACAGCAACTCATGGAACTGTGTAGAACTAAGTCAATGAAATGTTCTTCATGGTTAAAAACAGTTAATTGTTGGTGAAAGTCATAAGTAAGTGGAAAAGTAAGTGGGAAACAAACTCAAATTATCACACATATTTCTATTCAACACTTTTGAATCCTCTAACAGCAATTTTGCAATTTTTTATCCTGTATAACTTCAAGGAATTCTTATATCTCTATATAAAAACTGTTTGGTGACTGAGCTAAGACTGTTTGGTGACTTGAGTTTATTTATTAAACTGCTCTGTATGTACTCATCATGCTAACAGTGATGCCATGTTGTACTCCTACAATGATATAAATAGTCATAATCAGGCAGATTTTTTAAAAGATCAGTAAGATCTTATTGGCTAAAATGTATAGCATTACACTGCTCATATATCTGTATTATGCCACATTGATGGCCTGCCATTTTCTTCACCAACCTGAGAATTCCATTTGTCTATTAATATTATATGTTGAACACATATATCTGCTATAAGGACTGAATTTATTTTTTTAGAATAAGGATAATTGAAGGACTTCCACTATCAGGTGAGAGGGAGGCATTGCACAGTGTGTCTCAGAATTGTCCATTATTATAACAGTCATCAGTATCATTACCACAGTCCTGCTCCACTTTTATACTCCAAATTTTTATTATATAAACCATAATATTCATCAAGATTATGAGTTTATAACTATATATGTTTATAACTTTACATTGATCAGGGTTATGAGCTTATAACTTTGAAATACAACCAGCAGATAGTTTAAAAAGAGCTAAAAGAGTAAAGAAACTAATGTTTAAACATTAAAAACTAGAGTACAGAAAAAGCATATTGGCCCAATGCAGTGGCTCAAGGCTGTAATCTCAGCACTTTGGGAGGCCCAGATGAGGGGATTGCCTGAGCCCATGGGTTCGAAAACAGCCTGGGCAACTTGGCAAACCCTCATCTCTACAATAAATCAAAAAGATAAGCCGGGTGTAGTAGCACACACCTGTAGTTCTGGCTACTTGGAAGGCTAAGATAGAAGGATCACCTGAGCCCAGCAGGTTGATGCTGGGGTGGCCGTGAGCGTGCCATTGCACTTCAGCCTGGGAAATGGAGTGAGTCTCCAACTCATAAAAAAAAAAGAAAAAGCATATTTAATCTGTGTTTTTATCATAATAATTATTATCTCTAAAATTTTACTTAATACTTTACAAATACATATTAATTAATAACCAAGTGTCTAAAAACTAGCTATGGGTCATTTTTAGGAAGTAACATCTATGGATCATAAGAAAACCAGACACAGAAAATATTCTTTGAGTAGAAAAACTAAATGTCACTGTAAATAATTCTTAATTATTTATTAAATGATTCCTACATTTTATCATTTAATTAATTCAGTGGAATAAGTACTTATTGAAGGTAAATTTTGAACATATTTTCATTTCCTTAATATAGAAGACAGATCTACTCAAAATGAGCAGTGTAATGTTATACATGTTAACCTGTATTTTATTGATCTTTAAAAGTTTCCCTGATTATGATTATTTGTATCATTGTAGGAACACAAATGGTATCATTGTTAGCATGATTTGAGGTTGTGTCTGTGCTGGGCACATACATTTGCAGTTTAAAATAAACTCAAGTCACCAAATGGTCATAGCTCTGTCACCAGTTTTTTTCTAAAAAACAACAGGATAAAGTCAAGGTATTATCCTACTTGGTTACTGAGTTTAGATCCATAATGGTGCCTACGCCATGTTATATACTGGGTTTGATAAATTCAAGAGTATTCATGATGCCCTTATTTAATTGATATGATCATGCAGATATTCAAACAGAAATATTGATTCCATACAGTTTTCCTCTAAAACCTGAATTCTGGGCTGGCTGTTATATACATATCTAGGACTGTCACAGATAATTTTTTCCCCTTACAAACAAAATCACCAAAGTCTAGCATCTTTGAGAATTAATATTAGACATAAATTATCTACAAAACTTTGACTACCAGGCAAGGTACATTATGGACTTTTTTCCACTTTAGTGTCTACCTTAAATTTTAATTATCTCCAGTCCCCTCTGCCTCTTGGAATTGCTGACATCTTCTAGATTTTTTTTTAAATGATCAGATACAGCTTCTCTCTATGCAGCATTAGGCCTTGATTGCATAAAAAATGAA